GTCGGAGGAGAGTGAAGAGCAGGAGGAGGAGGCGGCGGCCCCTGGGCTTCCTGCAGGGGTCCCGGGGGCCGAGGAGGGTTCGGACTCGGAGTTGGACTCCGATCTTCAGACAGCAGGTGCCCGGTTAGAGGGTTCAGGTCTGTCTCCTCACCTTGGGGCTTCTAGGCAGCGGTGGAGGGGGCAGGCTGGGGCGGAGGGGGCAGGGGACCCGTGTCCAGCAGAGACCCATCCCTCCCTGGGACACCTTCTGGGCAGCGCTCCCGGAGATGCTCTTGGCAGCAGCAGTTGTTCCGCCATTAGAACACGCTTCCAGAATGATGTTAAAAAGCAAAAGCTCAGCCAAACTGTCTAAGAAGGGGTTTCCCATCTCTTCCTGAAATGGGATCAGGGCTGGGTTTTCCCCACCCACAGGAAAACTCAGCTAATGGATGTAGGGAACTTAGAGAAGGAATAATCAAAGGAAAAATAAAACAGTGTTCAGTTTTTCTTATTCTAAACTGATCTAACAGGTTCATCTTGTTCAAAATAATCATTGTAAAATACACTTGGTGATAATAGTTTATGAACAAGTGGCGCCATTTTACACGGGATGGGAGGGAGGAATCGGGAGGACTCTGTCATAGGGACCCGCATTAACCATGAAGAAACAGTGTCCTTTCAAAGTGAAGTGAGGTTAGTTGTAAATTTAAATTGTAAGCTCTATGGAAACCATTTAAAAACTGTAAAGAAATCTAATTGACACACTAAAAGAAAAAGTGGAATCATATGAAATGCTCAGTTAAAACTATAGAAGGCAAAAAATAATTTTAAAAGTGCAAGACAAAAAAGGGAAGATCAAAAGAAATGGATAGAACCAGTTAGAAATATGGTAGATAGTAATCCAATTATTTCAATAATCACTTTAAATAGGAATGATCTCAATGCGGCCAGTAAGAGAGATTTCAGACTAATATGAAAAAATAAGAGTGAACTACATGCTGTCCAGAAGAAACCCACTTTCGTTGTAAAGACACAGCTGGATTAGGAGTAAAGGGACAGGACAAGATTAAGTCAGGCTAACACACATCCAAGGAAAGCTAGAGGAGCTGTGTTAATTTCAGACAAAGCAGATTTCAGAACAAGGGAAATTCTCAGGGACAAAGAGGCATTCCATGATGTGAAAGGGGTCACTTCTCCAAGAAGACATGACAGTCCTTAACATACACGCCTCTAACAACAGAACATCAAAATATGTGAGGACAAACCGATAAAACTGCAACCAGAAATAGACAAATCCACTATCACAGTGGATGGACACAGAACCAGACAACTCCCCACGAGAGCACTAAACACCGCTATTTCAGTGACTGACAGACGCAGCAGGTAGAACCTCAGGAAGGACGGACTGGACGGTGCCACCCATCTACTGGAGCTCAGTGACACTCATAAAACACCGCATCCAACACAGCAGAACACCCAGGCTCCAAAGCTCACAGAAGGGGCCCGCCTCGTGGTGTAGTGGTCAACTTCCCACACATCAATCCAGTGGCCCGGTGTTCATGGGTTCTGATCCTGGGCACAGACCTACACATGACTCATCAAGCCATGCTGTGGCAGCATCCCACATACAAATTTGGAAGATTGTCACAGACGTTAGCTCAGGGCCCATCTTCCTCACCAAACACAAACAAACAAACAAAAACTCACATGAAATATTCACCGGATAGCACACATTCCAGGTAAAAAAGAAAAATCACACCTCAACAGATTTAAAACAACAGAAAGCAAATAAAGTATGTTCTCAGACCAAAAATGACATTAAAGTAGGAAACAAAAACAGAAAGATAGCTGGAAAACCCCAAAATATTTGCAGATTAAACAATAGATGGGTGAAAAAAAAGATGTCTCAAGAGAAACTGCAAATATTTTCCACAAAATGAAAATGAATATACAACTAATAAAAATGTGTGGAATGCAGTGAAAGCAGAACCTGGAGGGAAATTTATGGCAGTAAATGCACATATTAGAAAAAAAGGGGCTGGCTCCATGGCTGAGTGGGTAAGTTCGCCCACTCCACTTCGGTGGCCCAGAGTTTTGCTGGTTCAGATCCTGGGCGCGGACATGGCACTGCTGATCAGGCCATGCTGAGGCAGCGTCCCACATGCCACAACCAGAAGGACCTACAACTACAATATACAACTATGTACTGGGGGGCTTTGGAGAGAAGAAGAAGGAAAAATCAAAAAAGAAGACGATGGGCAACAGATGTTAGCTCAGGTGCCAATCTGTAAAAAAAAAAAAAAGATCTGACACAATAAGCTAGAGAAAGAAGAACAAAGGAAGCCTAAAGCAAACAGAAGAAAGGAAATAATAAAAATTACCACAGAAATTAATGACACTTAGGGGCCAGCCCAGTGACCTAGTGGTTAAGTTCGCACGTTCCGCTTCGGCGGGAGGTCACTGGCTTGGATCCCTGACGGGTATTTATGCACCGCTCATCAAGCCATGCTGTGGTAGGCGTCCCACATATAAAGTAGAGGAAGATGGGCATGGATGTTAGCTCAGGGCCAGTCTTCCTCAGCAAAGAGGAGGATTGGCAGCAGATGTTAGCTCAGGGTAATCTTCCTCAAAAAGAAAAAAGAAATTAATGACACTGGAACAGGAAAATCAATAGAGAAATCAATAAAACCAAAACTAGCTCTTAAAAAATATTTTAAAAAACGGATAAACCTCAAGCCAGGCTAGCTCAGAAAAAAAAAAAGAAACACAAATTACTAATATCAGAAATGAGAAAGGGGCTATGATTACTGATCCCATGAGCATTAAAAGGATAATAAAGAAATATTTGATAGTTAATATCTTCCCTGACGAGTTCTTTTGGATCTATAGCAAATCTTGAAATGAACTAATTCAAATCTTGCCCTGACCCTTTGACAGCTGGCTTCTAACTCAGATAACCAAAATATTGATGAGGATGTGAGAATCATTTCCATCTAGTAAGACTCTATCGTGCATAAATTAGACATCAGCAAAATGAGAAACTTTTGGGATTCAAAGGACACCATTAAGAATGTGAAAAGATGATCCACAACAGAGAGACAAATTTGTAAATCGTATATTTGATAAGAAACATACCTAGAATATATAAAGGACAGTAGCAACTCAGTTATAAAAAGACAACCCAATTTAAAAGTGGGCCAATGAGCTGAACAGACATTTCTCCAAGACGACACACAAATGGCCATTGAGCACTTGAAAAGATGTCCAACATCATCAGCCGTCAGAGAAATACTGATCAAGGCCGCAGTGAGAAGCCATTTCACACCCACAGCGTGGTTAGAATCAAAGACAGACGGTGAGTGTGGGTGAGGACGTGGAGGAACTGGGACCCTCACACGCTGCTGCAGGAACGGGAAACGGTGCAGGCGCTTTGGAGAAGGTCCTCCTGGCATCCAAACAGGGACACAGAGAGTACCCATCTGACCCAGCAGTTCCGCTCCCAGGTGTGCGCCCAAAAGAAATGAAAGCAGATGTCCACGCATAAACTTGTGCAGGAATGTTCACAGCAGCCACAGTCATAAAAGCCACAAAGTGGGCACAACCCAAATGTCCCTCACCTGAGGAAAGGAGAAATACATCGTGCTACAGCCACACCATGGATATTATTCAGCAATCAAAGCAATGAGGGGCTGACACACGCCACAACACGGATGGACCCTGAAACCATTACGCTGAGGGAAAGGAGCCAGACACAGAAGGTCACACACTGTGTGATTCCATTCACAAGAAATGTTCAAAACAGGCCAATCCATAGAAACAGAAAGTGGATTTGTGTTTGCCTAGGCCCTAGGGGCTGGGGGAAATGGGACTGTCTCCTAACGAGGAGGGTATTTCTTTAGAGGGATGGTGGAAAGCTTCCAGAATCGACTGTGCTGATGTTGCACAATTCTGTGAATATATTAAAAAACCACGAATTGCATGCCTTCAAGTGTGACTTGTATGTGAACCATTTCTCACTAAAGCTGTTCCCATGATTAAAAGACAGCATTGTGTGTCGTCAGCACAGAACGTAACCCCCAGAAAGGAGCACGGAATCTCGTTCACTCACTTTAAAGGATCTGAACTAGGGCAATGAAACCCAGAGGAATTCTATTAGCTAACGATCTGGGTGGCAGGAAATCCTGAAATACTCACGAGGATGTCCATGTTTTAATTTTTAGAAAAAGGCAAAAGGTTTAAAAACACATATTGACAAGTGTCAGGAAAGAATCATCATCGTTCAGGGGGAGGGGACACAGGGAAGTCATCAAACGGAAAGATTGTCAGTTTGTGTCACACGGATCCATACCCTGAATGTGAAGGTGGACCCACATCCATCACTGCTCCAGCCCTAAAGATCACCTCAAAGTCATCTTTGATTTTAACAATTAATAGTACCTCTTTCTTAAGCATTAGTTTGTGAAAAACCAAAATATTAAAAGATAAACATTTTGGAATCATGAAGAATTTGATTTTGCAGATTCCCAGTTTTAAAACTATAAACTTGTGAGGAGTCCATTTCATAGGTACTGAAGGGACTCTCCTCCTCGCCTTTGGAGTGGATTCCAGACATGACAGACACCTTAGGAGACAAGTGAAAAGAATCCACAGTGTTTGTAAAGGGCTCTTTGTTGACCCTGAATCCAACCCTAAACGCTCTATCAGACAACAGACACAAATGCGGGTCAGCATGGCCAGCAGGCAGAGAAACGAGGATCATGGGAAATTCAGTACTTTGCAGTGATGGTGAGGGCGCGTGTCTATTAAAATCCATCAGGCTGGGGCTGGTGCCGTGGCCGAGTGGTTAAGTTCTCGCGCTCCGCTGCAGGTGGCCCAGGGTTTCATTGGTTCAAATCCTGGACGCAGACATGGCACTGCTCATCAAACCACGCTGAGGCAGCGTCCCACATGCCACAACTAGAAGGACCCACAACAAAGAATATACAACTATGTACTGGGGGGGCTTTGGAGAGAAAAAAGAAAAAAATAAAATCTTTAAAAAAAATAAAATTAATAGAATTTAAAAAAAAATTTAAAAAATCCATCAGGCTTTAATGTGCCTTCCACGAGTAAGCAAATACAAATACAAAGACATCCGGATTTGTCACAAAGCTGTGCACCTGTTCTTGATGCCAATCGTTGTCCCCCTTCAGTTCACATGACCATCACTGACCACAATACGCTCCCCTGGGAGCACACCACTCACCAGGGCCAAGGTGCCTGTGGTGCTGGTGCCACCGAAGTCCCGGCTACTTAGCCAGGTGACACCTGCAACCCCCACCTCCCCACTTCTGTCCTGGGAAGGTCAGGAGGGCCCCCATCCTACCCCAGCCAAGGGGCTCTCCAGTGGCTGTCATGATACAGTCAGGGTTCAATGACTTTGGAGGCCTAGGGTCACCAAGTACGAATGCATAAAGAAGCTGCCCTCTACCCTCACTATGATCGTATCAAGGAGCATTCTTGACACTGAAAAGGAAGGATGTCGTTTCCAGAATAAAGGACAGGCCTTCCCAGGAAACAGCAGTTGCCAAGCTCCCCATGACATGTGCGTGCACATAATATACAAATCGCACTCACCCCACCTTTCTAAGGGGTTCCCTCCTCCCTAAATGGAGATGGTGAGAAACCTGCCCCCAGGGGTGTGGTGAGAAATGAGCACCGGGAAAGTGTGAATCCAGCCCCAGCACAGAGCGAGAGGGAAGACATGTCAGCTGCTTGATTCTCACACACTTGTCTCCTCCAGGCCTTGATCTGCTCACTGCCCGCCGTCAGGGAAGACTGTCATAGGCCAGCATGGGGCAGAGCCTGGCCATGGTGACCAGGCCTTGGAGAGGCCCGGGTGGGGACACCAAGTCACGACGCAGGGGCCCTATGGCGTCATTAGTACAATGCAGCTCGGGTCCACTCTGCACTAACCTGCTTTGTACCAAGCACAGCACTGGGCGGCCACAGTCAGGAGCAAGACAGCTCCTGCCCCCCAGGAATGTCAGACCCAGGGAAAGGAGAACCAATGACGGCCTCAGACATCCGATGATCACTGACCTAGTGCTTCTTGTAGAGGTTTAAACAGAAACGTAAAGAAGCAGGGCATTTGAAACACAGTCAACAGAAATTAGAGGAAAACATAAAAATGAAATCATCTGGTTAAATGAGCATTGCAGATGCTCATTCCACTTGCAGACATTGTAGCTGTGACCGTTGCTAGAATTACCTAAAACCCTGTGAAGACGCTAGAACAGCGGAACATCCTTATTTACCTCCTGAAGTGGGGGAGTCGTTTGCTCGTGGAAGTTTGGCAGGATGCTCGGGGCCTGTGACGGCTGCTGGCTGAGTGTGCAGCAGAGGGAGCAGAACAGAACCACTCAGCGAGGGAGCCAAGCACACTGAGGGGGAGACTCCACCCAGAGCGGGGCTGTCATCACCAGTTCCCAAATGACCTCTTATGCAATCTGACCCTCCCCCAAAATCTGCGCCGAGGGGTCATTTTATTCATGGAGACCCACGTGAGCACCCCATGTTCAAGCTCTGGAACAGCAGGACATCGACTGGCTGACAGATACCAGGACCCGGCCTTGGTCCTCTATCCAGCGGGTGCCCTGGTGCCAACAGCGAGCCCACCCTGATCTGCCCGAAGCCAATGGTGATGGTAGCAGCGGAGGTGAAACCTTTAATGACTGACGGGGCAGGACATGATATCCAGCAGGGACCCCCGTCAGCCAGGAGGAAATACTGAGTGGTCATGGCTCTGCTCTGTCTCAGAGGACATGGGTGGATGTGGGCTGGGAGATGGGGTGTGGGTGGGACTGGGTCTAAGGGCCAGTGGTGACGCGCCCTGTTTGGGCTGGTCTGGAGAGCAGGAATAGGAGGCTGGGGTCTGAGGATCTGGGCGCTTCTCCAAGTGTCCTGGCCTCTCAGCAGAATGTGGGGGGGGGGGGGGCTGAGGGGTGAGGGCACCTCCACCCCACCACACACACACACACACAGGGACAGTGCTTGGAATGCAAAGAAGGAAATGCTGAGGGCAGGGTCAGCCCCAGGAGGCAGGTGCCTCAGGGCCCCAAGAAGAGCAGAACTACAGTCCCCGCCACAGCAGGAAGGCCTGAGGGTCTCACCCGAGAGCAGGAGCCCCAGGGCTCACTGCACCAGCCCCACAGGAAGGCCAGCAGCACAGCACAGGCGGGCTCACGGGAGGCGTAGGAGGAGACCAGGAGGGACATGATGGCCGTGGGGCCCAGAGTCACATCCCGGGAGGTGCCAGGAAGACCTACACGAAGCACCCATGAAGGCAGAGTAGAGGCCAGACTGTTGGGGAGAGAGAGCAATGAGCCCCCAGGAGGCACACGGCACGCTCATGGCATCCCTGGTGTAGACGTCTGAGCACAGGGGTCTGTGTGTCCATTGGGTACGTTGGGCACAGTAGCGCACACAGGCAGGGTAAACGCTCACCCTCTATCACCCACGAGTGTGACCTGCAGTGACCAGGGGACCTCTTTTCTTCCCGTACCCATCTGGTACCACCTGGGTGACACCTCCGGGAGCACAAAGGCCTGTGTGCCTCTGTGTGAGTGTGTGAGTCTGAGGAAGTGTTCTTAAGGCCACGGTGGGTCATCCCGCTGGCCCCCTCACACAATCCAGAAGTAGCTCAATGCCTGTGTGTGACAAAAGCAGGTATAGGGGCATGTGTCACATGCTCAAAATTGTAAACTGAGGCTTCTTGGCCAGATGGGGCTGGAGCCCTGGGTGCCCCACTGCCTGGAGGGGATACTGTGCATTTCTCCTCGGCTTCTGGGTGGACACTGAGGCCCATAGTGGGGTCAGGCCATGGGCAGAGCATGTGGCCAGCAGCAGGGCAGACATCTCACCTGGGGCAGAAGTCAGGCCCCTCAGCACAGGCCAGCGCCTGGGGTATGACCTTGAGCCCCACCTAGAACCTGGCCATTAAGTCCACCTTCAGCCACAGCACACAGCAGTTGCACAGCCAGGCCAGGATGGGCAGCCTCCTCTGCAGGGCCGCAGCGGGGCAGCAGAGGGCCTGTGGGGCCATGAAGGGTACTGTGGGCCTGGCCTGAGCCAGCACCTTCACTGAAGAGGGCACGCACCGGGTGGGCCTGCAGGTGACACAGAGCAGCAGCCAGGGTCCCAGCTTCAGAGAACCCAGCAATAGGGTGGGGGTCCAGGGCATCAGCAGAGGCACAATCTGTCTCCCCTCCAGGGGGTCTGACCCAGATGGGTTAAATGGCCCCTTGCTGGTCTGAGAGGAAGCCAACAGGCTGTGCAGAGGGGCCTCCACCAAGGTGGGCCGTCCCCTCCCCTGCTCACTGCTCTCCCCAAATCCCCCTGCCCAAACCCTGGGCGCCTTCTCTCCCTCCATCAGCGCTGGCCCAGAAGAACTCGGTGAAGAATTTCTCAGTGAGAAGCCGAAATGCTCATTAGACTCAGGGCTTCTCCTCCGGGAGAATTTGTTTGCTTTTTTTTCCTCCCCAGGGAATTTAACCGGGAGCAGCACAGAGAGAAGCCGGGTCCGGGGGGCACCCTATCTGGGTGGCGGGGAGTGGGTTGGGGGACCGGAGGTCCTGAGGGACTGGGGTTTCCAAGTGTGCACCATGGGGGGCTGCACCCACTGAGGGGGACTATAGTGCTGTGCGGGGTTTCTCACATCTGAGGACAGGCCTTACCCCACCCCCCACCTGTGGCGTTCGCATCCCTAGAGGGACCCCAGGGGTTCTAGTTGGTTCTCAGAGAAAGTCTCGGTTAATTCTGGGTGCGCAGCATCCTCTCGCATCCTGGCGCCCCCTGCCGCAGAGCGGCCCCAGACCACCCCTCACCCAGGGGCCTCGCGAACCTGCTCCGGGCAGAACCCGGCCCCCACCCCCGGAAGCCGCTTGCCCCGAATCCTGGGGTCTAAGAGTAGGGACATCACCCAGACTGCGGTCCACCGGCCGCAGGCCTTGAGGACGGCGGGGACCTGGATGGGGACATGGTTTGTGAGGAATCGAGATCCCTGTGGGAGGCGCCCTGCGCCACTGGATTCCTGAGCAGCCCCTCGCGTTGTCGTCCCCCGTCGCCCCCCGCCCATCCCCAGCAGCTCGCCCACCTCGCTCTGGGCCCGCTGCCCGCAGCAGACCCACCTCGCACCGCAGCTCTGGGGGCTCCCGACGCCGCCGCATCCAGGTCTGCAGGAATCCGAGAACTTCGGGTGCAACGGGCGGGGCCGGGGCTTAGAGGGGCGGGACAGGCTACAAGGGCGGGGCCCGGCGGGAACTTGAACGCAGGGCAGGGTCGAGGTCAGAAGCCACCATCCCGTGCCCTCCTAGGGCCAGCTTGCTGGGTGCTGCTGCTACTGGCACTGGGCGTGGCCCCAGAACGTGCTGCAGATCCTTCGTGAGTGCTGTAGGGGACAAAGGCTCAGGGAGGTGAAGTGACTTGCCCAGGGTCACAGAGCTAGTGAGTCGGCCAGATCCTAAACCTGGGTCTGTCTGAGTTCAGCTCTTCACAAATCATCATTCTGCCTCCCTCTCGTAAAATAAACAAAGCAAATAAATAAAACGAGTCGCTACTGGCCTGGCTGTGGGGACCATTTGCAGGAGAAAAGCAGGTCAGAGGATTGGGGGAATCACATCCCCGGGACCTGCTGTAAAAGGTCCTGAGCCGCTGGAACAGCTTCTTCTGGGTCCTGAGAGTACCATTTGCCTGGGGCTCCCCTGCGGGCCCCCTGGTGTGGGCTGGGCCCTTGGCTGATGTAGAAGTTGGTCCCAGGCCAGGGTCCCCTGAGGTCTGTGCCACCCCTGGGTGCAGGGGGCAACAGGTGCCACCCACTCCCCCAGGCAGAAGCAGAGACCCACCCAGACGAATATGCAGACAAAAGGCCCGAGCGACATTCCGGGTGTGACCTGGCGACTGAGAACGGGAGGAGCAGCTGGCCCAGGAGCCACTGAGGTAGGATCTGCGGGAGGTAAGGACCCAGGGCAGCCTCTCTCCTCCTCCCCTCCTCGTGTGTGTGTGTGTGTGTGTGTGTGTGTGTGTGTGTGTAGATGTCATCTCCTCTCCCCTGCTGTTTTTCTCTCTTCCTCGCCCTCTCCTCGCCCCCTCCTCCCTGGCAGCTCTGGCCCATTTCTGCTTCTCTCTCTACTTGCTGCCCCCTCTTTCCCAGCCACCCGCCCCTGTGTCCAGGGCAAAAGGGGTCACCTCTTGGCTCCTGAGTGTACACACCCTTGTCCACCTTTCCTGTGCACACAGGCCAGTATCCATCAACCTCAAGTCTCTCCCCTGGGAGAGGGGTCAGGGTGGGCCCAGTGGGGGTCAGGGGTCCACCTTGGCCCCCTCAGCCATGTGCAAACATGGCTGCCTGGGCTTGAGGGCCACTGCCCAGAGGACAGGCACCACTCTTGCACCCAGGCCTGCGTGGGGCTGCCCAGCACCTTGTCCCCCTCCCCACTACCCCCTGACAACCTCCACAACCTACACGGAGGAAGGCAGGGCAGGAGCCAAGTTCTGCCCAGGCCTCGAAGCCTAGTTTGGACCCAGCTCAGGATATGAACTCATGCCAGACCACCTGGGTCCACATCTTCGCTCCAACAACTCACCAGCTGGGTGACCTGGGACAAGGGATTAATCCTCTGCTCGCCTCGGTTCCCCCATCTGCAAAACAGGGGACACAACAGTACCTGCTTCTCAGAGTCCTTGTGAGGACTGAACATAGATTAACGTATGTGAAGAATTTAGCACGGCTCCTGGTACAATGGAGCTCTGTGCGCGTGTTTGTGATCATCATCATCATCACTATGTGATAAGAGGTCAGTCACGCCCTTCAGCCAAGGAACACCTGCACCACACCTGCACTTGACCACACTGAGTTTATCACTCGTTGCCATGTGGGAGAACACAAACCATGCGGAAGCGCAGGGTATCTCCATAAGAGGGTGGTACAAGGAAACTATGATCAGATCGGGTTCTAATGGGTGCTTTTGACAAGGGTCCAAGGCAGTTCCAGATTGGGTGCTGTCAGAAAGGGGAGAAAGTTCTATGAGTAGGTATCTTATACACCTTACCTATGGGGAGGGTAGAGAAGAGACTCTCCTCCCAGAATGACTCCTGAGTGGCGTCTGGACACAAACAGCACAAATGCATGGAAACTCCACCAAGACTAGAACTGTCGACAAAAGGCAAGACAGAATGTGCAGTCTGATCTTCACTGTCTTGAAGGCTTGATTAAGCAACAGAAAAAGAAAAATGGGGGCTGGCCCCGTGGTCGAGCGGCTAAGTTCGCGCGCTCCGCTGCAGGCGGCCCAGTGTTTCGTTGCTTCGAATCCTGGGCGTGGACATGGCACTGCTCATCAAACCACGCTGAGGCGGCATCCTACATGCCACAACTAGAGGGATCCACAACGAAGAATACAAAACTATGTACCTGGGGGCTTTGGGGAGAAAAAGAAAAAAAATAAAATCTTTAAGAAAAATGAACATTCTGCAGAAGATTTCAATAGAAACCAGAGTCTCACAACATGATGAGTAAACTGTCCAGGACTCCATCCAAAATTACACAACACGGGGGCTGGCCCCATGGGTGAACAGTTAAGTTCACACACTCCGCTTCAGTAGCCTGGGGTTCCCCCGTTTGGATCCTGAGCACAGACCTACTCACCGCTCATCAAGCCATGCTGTGGTGGCATCCCACATGGAAGAGCTAGAAGGACCTATAACTAGGATATACAACTATGTACTGGGGCTTTGGGGAGAGAAAAAAAAAAAAGAGGGAGACTGCCAACAGATGTTAGCTCCAGGCCAATCTTCCTCAGCAAAAAAAGTGCACCTTAAATAAATAAATAACCCACAAAGATTAAGAAAATCTACCACCTCTCTAGAGAAAAGGCAGTCCACAGATCCAGCCCTGAAATAACCTATACAAAGGACCTCTCAGACAAAGCAGCTCTTCCAACCAGGCTCAATGTACCAAATACAAATTTCTCAAATTCGTGGAAAGAAACACGTTCTCAGCAGAGAAATAAAAAGTATGCAACAGGGGCCTGAGGGCCCAGCGCCTGGGCAGTGGGCAGGTCAGTTGTTATGATGTCCCCATTTTACAGGTGAGCAGTCAAGGCTTGGAGACAAAGTAACTGCTAGAATGACAGGAGCCCGTTGGGGTCCACCACAGCCAGACCTGTGGCTCACCACTCACCCTCGCAGCCTGGTGCCCAAGGTCAGCAGGCCTTATGACCTCTATTCTGATGCCCCCATGGGAGGCTCCTGGTGTGGGGCAAAGATGCTGGTCCAAGTGGGAGGAACAGGAAAGGCTGCAAGGAGGAAGGGCCTTGGGGTAGCCTTGAACCACAGGGAGCAACAAGCTGCTCTCACCCTGCAGCACTTCCTCGAAACCACAGCTGACAGATGAGGAGACTGAGGCTCAGAGAGGCAGGGGGCAGACTGAGCAGCTTAGCCCACGAGTGGTCACATGCTAGGTACCCCAATGTGCAGTAGCGGCCCACCTGCCACTCAGCCCAGTGATGGACAGGCCTGCTGCTGGGCTGAGCCCTGGAGGAGAGGCCAGGGGCCTGGGGTCCAGCTGAGCCCCAGCTCCAAGGGGAAGGCACCTGCCCAGACCTGGGTCCTACCCCTCAAGGAGCAGAGAGGGGAGGTACACAGCAGGCAGAAGGAGGGTGAGGCTGGATGCCCTGGCCCCCCTGCCCTGGCACCAGCTAGGTTTGCAGGGCAGAGGAGGTGAAGTCACTCCCAGGCGGGTGGAGCAGAGGACGCCTGGGCCCGGGGCTCCGGCCAGGACTCGGGTCCCAGGGGCTGTGGAGGCAGCTCCTCCCGTGAAGCGTCACACCTGGGGAAGCAGTGGCCCAGGCCTCTTTGTGTCCTTGTCACAATGGAGCCCTCCGGAGGAGGCGGTGTGCGGCGTGCCGAATCCTGCAGGGCCCGGCTTTGTCGCCCCCTTGCAGCCGGAGCCGGTCTTGGCGATGGGGCTGGGCAAGTCCCAGGAATCCACCGGGGCGGGGCCCGGGCGGCCTGATGGGACCCGCGGGTCCGGAGGCCAAATCCTTGGGACGCCCTCGTGTCGACCCCGGATCCGCAGGCCCGGGTAACGGGCGGATGCATTTTTCTGGGACCCGCCGGGTCGGGGAGGCGGCCCCGCCGTTTCCGCGGGGGTGGGCGCAGCAGAGCCAGCCGGCTTCCGGGTGGGGTGCGGACCCGGTGGGGTCTTGGCCACCCGGCTACACTGTGTTATTTTTAGCGTGAGCTGCCCTCCTCCGTGCTTCCTGCTGAGTGCCAGGAGCAGATCCCCGCCCGCTCTGGCATCAGTTTCCCCATCTGCAGAGTGAGATGCCCTAGCCCACGTGGGGACGTGGGCTCCCACGGCGAGAGGGGAGGATCACTACCCACGACTGGCCTCGGGCCACGCAGTCCCTGAGCAGCTGGTAGCTGTGGGCAGGTTACCCCTCTTCCCCTGCCCGCCACTTCTGCCTTCTCACCCGCGAAACCGAGACTCCAACGCGAGAAGCCCAGGGCTGGAGGGTCTTTTGACACTCCCCCCAACTCATGTGTGGTTTGGGGGCGCTGTTGGGGCTAAGCCACCAGGGGCCCCAACCCGCAGGGTCTGCCCTTGAACTGGGAGTTCTGGGAAAGACCAGCTCCGACTTCCAGGAGGGTTGGAGGCTTTTTGCAGTGGGTTGACACGGCACATGCTTGACCTTGTGGAGTCTCAGGGACTCCTCCGTAAAGGAGGCTGAACCTACCCACGTGAGGGTCGTGAGGGGAGCAGAAATCAGCACCAGGTGCCACAAATACAACCACGGCTTTCAGACTCAAGGTTAAACTCCCAGTTAATGTCTGCCGAACAGACACCTCAAGCTTCCTGGCTTAAGGATAATAATTAATGGCGGGGGGGGGGGGGGGGGGGGGGGGGCACCCCAGCCTGGCCAGGTCCTGGACTCAGAACATTAAACCCAATTCTGAATTTGGTAATTATCACCCCAGGTACTCCCTCAAGCTTTTACCACATACCTATTTATTCCTACTCGACATAAGACATAGGTGTGGTTTTGTGTATTTGCAAACTATAAAGGCTTTACCATCTATGCACGTTTCTGCAACTTTATTCACACAGCTTTGCTTCCCTTACACCGATACCGTTCCTCAAGTTCATTGCTTTTTACTGATGAGGGGCATTCTAGCGTTTACTAGTTTGTTTCTCCATTTTCCTCATGATTGACATTTGAGTTGTTGACAGTTTTCCGGTATTACAGGCAATGCTGCATTTATGAAGAGAGGTTCTTGGGCACGAGATGAAGAGTTTCTCTAAGGCAAAGCCCAGGAGTGGAACTTCAGGAATTGCTGGGTCACCAGGCATTTGCAACTTCAATTTCCTAGATACCCCAAATTGCTCTCCCCATGGCTGCACAAATTTACATTTTCATCAACAGTAGGTGAGCATCCCAACTGATTCTTCCCACCTTGGTACTGCCAGAATCAAAGTGCCAACCCGCTGAGTGGGAAACAGCCCCCCCTTGTGGATTTCATTTGCATTTCCCCATCACTAATACACCGGAGCACCTTTTCCTTCGTTTTTTTGGCCACTTCAGTTCTCTTCTGTAAGCTCCCCATTCATAGCCTTTGCTCCTTTCCTTTTCTTTATGAATATGTAGGAATTCTTTATATATTCTAAATACTCACACTTTGTTGGTCATATGCTTGTGGACACCTGCTCCTGGTCGGTAGCTTTTGGTTTCATCTTCTTATGGTGTCTTTTAACACAGATTTTTAATTTTAATGACTTTAAATCTTCACAAGAAACCTGTACGGTTTATCCTGAGGTTATAAAAACATTCATTATTTTCTTCTAAAATGTTTAAAGTGTGCTTTTCAAATTAGTTTGTATGCACCTGGAATGATTTTTATGTACCAGGTGAGGTAGAAATCCAATTTCATTTTTCCCCAGAGAGAGAATCCACTGCCCCAGCACCATTTATTAGTCCATTATTTCTCCAAAGATTTTTTAAAGAGACGAAAAAAACAATAGTTGTTTTGAAAAAAATAAATCTATCTAAACAAAATATTAGCAACAGAAACCAACAGTGTGTTGATAGCAACAATTACAACATTATGACAAGTCGTGTTTACCCCAAGAATTCAAGGAACCTTCGAAATCACTAGAAACTATGGATGTAACTGAGCTGTTAAACGGAGTAAAGTACAAGCCCATCCGATCGTCTCAGTAAACGCAGAAAAGCATGCAATTAGCAACTGCTAACATTTTACTTATTGTATTTTTCCTTAAGAATGCACGGGGTCTCTACAGATTTTTAAACGTTCAGAGCAGCAAACATCAGACAAAAACCAAGCTCGAGCAACAGCGATACTGCAGCATCCATCCTGGGGCATGTCCTGTCAGTCTCCGCTCAGGTGACTTCCTAAGGTCACTCTCAGGTCCATTTCCATGACCATAAATAGCATCTTTGGCAAGTCTGGTTCCGGTTTGGCCCTTATCCAACTCCTGTTCCACGAGAAGCCCTGAGAAATAAAAGATTAATCCAGCCAAGTGGACCCTACGGTTTCTCACCTCCGAACGCGCCCCGACTATAGGCGGGGCGAGCCTCTCACGCAATGGATCCCCTGGCAGCAAGCCGAGACGGGTTATCTTCTCGGCATTCCAAGTCACTAGCTCGGCCAAGTCGGACAGATGCGAGCGCTCCAGAGACTGGTAGGTCGGCCTTTCGGTCTCTCCCAATTCTGCCCCACCTCCGGGGAATGGGTGGGGACACCTTGACTGAAGGAGGGTGGGGATGTCCGTGCAGAATCTGAGGGCTACGCCTTCAACCAGTGCCCAGGGACAGGAGCTTCCCAGGGACTGGGCCGCCCGGGCCCCGGTGGCGGCAGGGGCGCCAGATGGAGGAAAGGGGAGGCCGGGCAGAGGGGCCAGAAAGGGCGACGGCGGCGGTCGGAGCGGGAGACAGGCAGGAACCCGCAGATTCACTCCGGAGGCGGCAGCGAGGGAGGGGACGGGGGGCGCAGGGCCGGAACTTCCGGGGAGTCTGGAACAAGGTGATGAGACCCGCCGGCTGGGACCTGCAGATGCGGAGGCAGGGCGTGGGCCGGGGTGACCTCGGCCCAAGCTCCCTTCTGGTCTGCAGAGATGGGCTCCAGGCTCGGCGGAGTAAGGAGTAAGCGGCTTTTCGGCCACAGAACTGCAGAAAGGGAGGGATGGAGGATGAACAGCAGCTGTTCTTACGGCCTCGGACTCAGGCGACCCGCTCACGGCCCCGACACCTCTTAACGCCCCCTGCGCCTGCGCCTGCGCCTCGGCCGCCCTCCGCGTGGGAGTCTCGCCGCTCCGTGCGCCACTGCGCCTGCGTCTCGGCTGTATGTTTTGCGCAAGCCGTCAGCTCATCGACTTCCCTCAACACGTACTGCGCTTGCGCATGCGCTTCTGCCTCAACCTGAGTTTGCGCCCCTCTAACGTTCTCTGCGCATGCGTTTCTCCCTCTCGGCTCATTTGCTTCTGGCGAATGTCCTAGTGAAATGAGTGCACCACCCTCCCCCCAGCGCGCATGTGCCGGCACCTGCCCGGCGATGGTGGCCGCGGTTCCCCTGGGGCAGGGCAGAAGCTCACAGGCCGCACTTCTCCCGAATACTGGAGAAATGTGTACGTGCTCGATGCCCTCCTGCGATCTGGAAAGGTCTGAAGTCCAAAACCTGCCCGGCCTAGGCGTTTCAGATAAGGGATTGAGGACCAGCGTGAACTGCACGGGCGCGGCCACTCTGGAAGGCTTCACGACGGCGTCAAATGTACAGAAACCCCTCGTGCTTGTTTGTGGAGTTTGGTGCTGGGCTCAGACGAGCATGCGTAGGTGTGCACGCGCAGGGATGGTTTGGTGGCCAGTGCAGGGTGGCGAGGGGTCACATGTCTGCAGATACGCGGGCCGGCGGCATCCCGGGCTGGCACGCATCGCGATGCCCTCGCGGTCCTCGTCCTCGTCAGGGCCAGACGCGCCCCGAGAGGCACCCGGCCCTGGGCGCTGCAACCGTGGCTACCAACCCCCTCCTGTGACTGTTTCCCACTCTCGCCTCTTCCTCAACCGCCATCTCCTCCTCCATGCTTCCTCTAAGCTCTGTCCTGACGTCCTGCTTCACCGAGGGCATGGGGGTACCAGAAGAGGACGCCCACACCGCCCACCACCCCGTCCCTTGGTTTCTCTCCAACCCGCGCTGATTTCCTTCAGATGTGAGCACAGCGCACGTACACCCCTCCTTCAGGTCTTTGTGCAAATGTCACGCGACCACCTTCTCCAAAAGCTCCCCCCTCACCCTGCCCTGCTTTACGTCTCCGTCGCACTAGCTAACAGATTGTATGTTTTCCTTGTTGGTTTTGTTATTTCCTGTCTGCTCCACTGGAAGGAAGGCCCCCTGAGGCCGCTGCTTGAGTCTCTTGTTCACTGCTGTATCCCCAGCTCCTAGAACAGTAGGTTTATTGTCCATAGTAGGGAGGCAAGAAAGATTTGTTCACTGAGTTAAGAATCACCGTCGTAGCTACCGTCTGAATGCTTCTCATGACAGGCACCGGACTAGGCAATCTCCAATGCAGGATCTCATGGAATTAAATGATTCCTGCTGTCTTGGAGACGTGCCAGCACCCCCTGCCGCATGGGCTCTGTTGTCGGCAGGCACTTGTCTCTTGCTGCTTTCTGCAGATCTGCTCTCTTAGAGGAATTCTCACCTGCATGCAGCCTGCATGGAGCTTTGCCCTGACTCCAGTGAGACTGACTACCGCCTTCTCAACTGGCTTTCTCCTGAGGCTTCCGGATTGGGAGGAAGTTCCTTAGGCCTTATAGGAACTGTGGGCAGCCAGGGTGCCTGTCACGGACCAGTCTCCAGACCTGTGGCAAGATCTTTGGCAGGACCCTGCCCACCAGAACCTCTTCCTCTGCCTCCCCATCCCCAGCACAGTATCTCACCAAATGGTGCATGCATGTCCCTCTTCTGCCAGCTGTATGTGCCCCAGCACAGTTCTTGGCTGGGACAGGCACTTGGTATTTGACTGACAGACGAGTAAACAGTCCTCAGGTTCTGGAAGTTCTTCAGAAAACTGTTAGCCAAACATCCTTCTGCCATGAAACTTGTATTTAAGTATTAAAAAAAATCTTCATGGGGCCAGTTTGGTGGTGTAGTGGTTAAGTTTGCATGCACTGCTTCATCAGCCCAGGGTTCAAAGATCCAGATCCTGGGCACAGACCTACACACCACTCATCAAGCCACACTGTGGTGGCATCCCACATACAAAATAGAGGAAGATTGGCCCAGATGTGAGCTCAGGGCCAATCTTCCTCACCAAAAAAATAAAAATAGAAAAATGATCAATTTGACTTGTAGGACCTTAAATTTGCACAATGATTTGCCAAAACGAGAAAAGCAGTAGGATTTGCTGGGAAAAGATCAACGGTTTGATTTTTGTATAGTTAACTACTTTGTGAATGCCGAGGAGAACATCTGAGGGGAGCAGTTCATTGCCGTGCCTTTGAGGGAGTGGAGAATTTTCAGCATATACTGAATTTTCAAAATTTTAACGAGAATGGTATTTTGTAATTAAAAATTATAAAAGGAAAAATACAAATAAGATTCTGAATTCCAAAAAAATTCCAACTAAACGGGATGGAGCCTCAGGGCCCCAAGTGCTCATGGCTGGTGCCCTCCATCTCTAAGGGCGTTGCACTAGGATGAGGAGCTGTCCTTTATGGGACCCAGTGTGTGTGGCCTATGTGTACCGTGGCTGTCTCCCAGCCTGGAGGTGGGCATTATTATCTCCAGGTCCAGCGAGAAAGTGACTCAGAAAGGGTGAGGGAGCAAGGGCAGGGCTGGCATTGGGACCCAGGCACTGCCACCAGCTGCGGCTGCTCTGTGCTGCTCCATATGCCCCCCATGTCCCCACGTGTAGTCCATGTGGCCCCTTCTCTTATCCTCATTGCACACCAGGCTGGGAGGTAAGAGGATCCCCAGCCACTCTGTTGGAGAATGTTCAGGTGGAGCGAGTCACTGGGGCTCACGGGCTGCTGTCCTGCCAGGGGCAGAGCATCATCCACTGGGGCCCCAGCTCAGAGCGTGGTCCTGCCGAACCACAGCAGGCAAGCCCAGGGACAGTCCGGCATGGAGGGCCGAAACTGCTGTCCCTTTCAGGAAAATGCTGGCAGGGGTGGGGTTGGGGGGTGAAGGGACAGCAGGGTCCTAGGCTCAGAGCAGAAGGCTTGGGTTCCTCTGCTACCTGCTAGCCCTGTGACCTGGGTGACTCCTCTCCTCTCATTGCCTGGCTCAGACCGATTGCAGTGCTGTGATTGGCAGGCTGCAGCCCCAGGACGGAGGTGGAGGCTGTTAGTGGTCACTCTGTGTTCTCTCTTCCCTCAGATTCAGGGCAAGGTCCTGCTCCTGACCATCTGTGCAGCTGGCATTGGTGGGACTTTTCAGTTTGGCTACAACCTCTCCATCATCAATGCCCCAACCTTGGTATGTACCCTCCTTGCCCCCCGTCATCATTCCAGTGGGTGCTGGGTGATGGCTGACAGCTGACCCCTTTGGAGCTTCAGGCCAGCGTCCAGTTGGTGGCGCTTTCTCCCACGGGTTCATCTTCCCTGGGATGTCCCACAGGTCCTGTGGGTTCAAACCCAGCTCTGCATCCTCCCCCGAGCCCACATGTCCCCCTGAGTCCCTAATGTCAGTGGATGACACCACTGTCACCCACTCGGGGTCAGCCTTGACTCTGCCCTCCTCTCTCGGACGCCAAGTGCTTCCTAACTACCTCTCGCATCCAGCTGTTTCTCCCTGTGTCTTGACCACAACCCCACTTCAGGCCCTACCTCTCCGGCCTGGATTGCTGGCCGGGCCTCCTCACTGGACTCCCTGCCTTCAGTCTCTCAAGTTTGATCAGGCCACTCCCCTCCCAGAAACATTCTGTAACCCACCCCCCCACCCCCCAGTGCCTATGGGAATAAGGACAGACTCATCCTCCTGAAGTTCCAGGCCTCCTGGGATCAGAACCTGTCCTCTGTCTGCCACCTTCATTCCCCTAACCCTGCTACCGAAGCAGGTTAAATGCAGTCCCCCAAAAGCACACCACCCTTCTCTAAGCCTCCTCCCCCTGGAAACCCTCTCTGCCCCACATGCAGACGCCCTTCAGAACCCTCCCAAATACCATCACCTTCCAGATCCTTCCATCAACACCCCCCAGCTGGAAGTCACCCCCCGACGCATATCCATGGTGCAGGTGCCTTTCTCATCCTCCTGCTGGTTTGCTCTCAGTGTCTGAGTCATCTTTGAATCCTCAGCACGTGACGCTGGCCTGGCCCATGTCAATTTTCAGGGAGTGCCTGTGGAAAGGAGGGATCTTTCAGCCCCAGTGCTAGAAGCCACCTCTTACTTCCTTCAGAAGGGAGAGTGTCCTGTCATGTAGCTGGGAAGGAGGTGGGGCTGCACACCCTGGTGGTGGGGGGAAGAGCTGCAGGAGCCAGGCCCCAGGACGGAACTGGGGCTCTCCTGTCCCTGCATGGCCTCACCCTCCACCCAGTGACAACAGCTGTCACCAGGCTCATTTCTTGCCAGCTGGGAACCCCAAATAAAGTCTTCCCTGGTAGCTCCAGCGGAAAGGCCTGGGAAGAATCTGATTGGCTGGTTTAGATACATACCTGTTGACCAATCGTGTGGTCAGGAGGATGGAGCACTCTGATTGGCCAGGTCTGGGTCAGGTGACCACCTTTAAGGGGATGGGGAGGCTGTGATTCACAATGGGAGAGAACTTCCTGAAAGGAAGGTATGTTAGCAGTTGGCAGAGCTGGGGATGGGAGCACATTCTGGGCAGGAACAGTTACAGCAGCCCAGCCTCTTAAAGGAAGGATGGAATGAAGGGTTTAGAAAGGGAGGTTTGAGCTGCAGCATTTGTTTGTCTGTTCGTCCACAAGCACATGAGTGCCCACTTCAGTGCACACATTCAGGCTGCAGAGGGATCCGCTGGCAGCAGGGTGCTCGCAGGCCAGCTTCTCACAGGCCTCATTGCCCCTGCAAATGGGACTTTCGGGGGCTCAGAGGCTCCGCCTACCCCCCGAATGGTCACTCTTGAGGAGTTCCAGCCCAGATCTTGGGAGGCTGGCCCTGGTCCCAGCTCCCTTGGATGGGTCCTTCCCCAAGAGGGACCTGGCGGGCACCAGGCCAACAGCCATTACCCTGAGCTGGCTGGGCAGGAGAGAGCTCTCCCCACACCTAAACCCACTGCCTTTCTCACGTCCTGTCCCGAGGCCCAAGACCAGCCAGACACTGACATTCATCTCTGACCAAGGGAAGGGTGTCTGGCCTTCCCCATGCTCAGTCATTCCTGACCTCCTGGCCTCCGTTCGCTTCCTAAAGTGGCAGCTGTGTGGGGCAGGGTGGGGCTCCGGGGTTCCAAACTCCCCGGTGCAGCCCTGACCGTGGGCAGGTCATTTCCCCTCTCTGGGCCCAATTCCCAGGGTTAACAAGGAGCAGAGTAATATGTGTCTAACAGAATACTCCCGAGGGCTTGTCACAGTCGGGGTCCCTGGAAACACGTGGCTCACTCCAGATGAGTCAAGCAGCTTTAGAGACCACAAAGGCAGGTTTACAGAGGACTGAGGGGCATCAGGAACACATGAGGCGGTGCGGGTGCAGGAATGCAGTAGGAACACCGAGTCCTTACCACCTGATCCGCAGAGGCACAGTGGGAGGAGCAGTTCCCAGAACCAAAGGACAGAGCCATGTGGCATAGGCCCCCTCGAGAGGAGCAGTGACCTCTGGTCGAGCTCACAGCCAGCCTGAGGTGACCTCCCAGGACGGGAGCCCCAGGCACTCGGGGCACAGATATCCCCAGACCATGGCCTCTCTCTCTTGCCTCCTCTGATGCCCTGCGGGGGCTCACCACAGGCTAGTCCAACGGGGAGCCAGTCAGCAAGGGGGCCCGCTGATGTGGCCCTTGTAAGTGGCTTCCTGGGCCTAAAGCAGGGAGACAGGTGACAGTGGACTCGGAGGGGCACGGGGAGACTGTCCAGCACTAGCTCCCGGAGACACTGCCTGTGAGAGAGACCAGCACAGGGCACTCATAGGGTGGGGCTCAGGCAGGCTTGTTCCCGCCCCTCAGGGAGGAGCGTTGCTCAGGAGACACTGCCTGTGAGAGACACCAGCACAGGGCACTCACATGGTGGGGCTCAGGCAGGCTTGTTCCCGCCCCTCAGGGAGGAGCATCACTCAGGGGAGCTGGTGGCCACTCCACAGAGGCAGAGCCCTGGGGAGAAGGCATAAGGTGGGAAGCCCCTCCCTGGGAGGCTGACGGGCATCTCTGTCCACAGCACATTCAGGACTTCACTAATGAGACATGGTGGGCCCGGACTGGCCAGCCGCTGCCCGACCACCTGGTTCTGCTTGTGTGGTCCCTCATCGTGTCCCTGTACCCCCTGGGGGGCCTCTTTGGAGCGCTGCTTGCAGGGCCCCTGGCCATCAAGCTGGGAAGGTAAGTGCTTCCTGTGTACCCCTAGTGCCCTTTACACGAGGGCACTCCAGTCTGCAGGCTGGAGAATGTGGAGATGGAACATCACCAGCAGGCCCAGACCCAGGCCAGCTGCTCACCCAGCCTCTTATTCTGCCCATAGTTCCACCAGGAGGGTCACCCTTCCGAGCAGATTGGGCCGAGGGAGGAATCCTGTGCTGTGAGGGAGGGAGGACTCCAGGTTTCCAGTTCCCCATCCACCAACAAATGCCCTTTGGCGGTAAACAAGTGTATTCTCCCTGGGCCTCATCTCCCCCGAGTATCCAACTGATGCAGTTCTTGGGTCACAAACGAGAGAGACTGACTCTGACTGAGTTAATGGAAAATTGTAATCACCGGAAGGACACTGGAGCGGCTCACAGAATGGAAGGAAGGGTCAAAAGGCAGGTCTTGAGGAGGCAGGAGCCAAGGCGGGGCCGAGGATCTCGACAGCCAGAGCATTGGACTTTCCTCCTGGAGGATGCCTCCAGCCCGTCAGCTCCAACTACATTCCATCTCCACCATCTTCAGGCAAGATTCAGAATCCAGGAAGACGGGTTCTTACTGGCCCACCTTGGGTCACATGCCTATACCTGTGAAGGAGCAGGAGAGACGCAATGCTGGGCAGAAAGACAAATGGCAACCACAGTCCACCCCTTTGCTAGCTACCTGGTGGGAGTAGACACATTTCTCCCATATATTCAGTTCCATACATGCCCCTCCTAACATTACTCGACTGTGCCATCATATACACCAGCATTGTGTCTTCACCCCTTCCCAAGTGACACCACTCACAGCATTGTCTTGTCACAGCCACCAAGCCAATGTAATGGAGATATTCTTTCTGAGCACAGGCTTTCCACTTGATGACCATTCTGCCAGCCCTGCAGTTAACCTCTTGATATTCTGCTATCTATACACTTCATGATAAATTTACCTGCCACCAAGACACCCCATGGGAGGAGGAAAGAAGAAGAAAGAGTAGGAAAAAAATGAAGCAAAAGAAAAGTAGTGGGTGAATTTATTTTAAAGCATGTGACACAGAAAGTCTGGAAACACAGGTAGGAGTTCTTCTGGTTTCAGAACTGGTCACAGGCTGTCGCACATCGGCGCCTTCCATCCTCTGCTTCTCCACTCTTGTCTGGGGCCAGCACTTCCGCCGGCTGAGGCTCTGCCCATTGCGGATGACTCAAATCTTCCTTCTGGAGTGGGCCTGGTGGGCCTGCTGTTGGAGGATCTTCAGCAGGTTGTTCTGCTCTGAGCTCATCTGCTTCTGCATCATGGGATTCCTAACGCAATGGAGGCCCCGGGCACCAGCCTCTCTTCTTTCACTGATGTGACTTCCTTCACTGGCTACAAAATTACATGGATGCCATGCTTGTATATCTAATGCGTGTATCTGTAAGGATGTCTTCAACTGCAAGTAACAGAAAACCAGGACTCAGTTGGCGAAAACAACAGGAGACCCTTGATCTCACACAACAAGAAGTCTGGAGGTGGCTGCCTTCATGAAGGGCCACCGCAGCCCCAGCTCTGCTCCTCCGAGATTCCCTTGGCTGCCAGCTCCACTGTGTGTCAGATTTGTCTTCAGGCTCGCAGCTGGGAAGCTACAGCGGCCTCACCCAGATGCAGCACCACCCGGCAGAGGGGGAGTTCTTCCAGGCCAGTGCTCTATATCAGAAAGAAAAACACCTGTCAAAAATGCCCCGGGTCTCCTTGCCCAGCCCTGAGTCACTGGCACGGAGAACGGGGTCACCAAGACTGGGCTGGATGATCGGGGTCACACCTGAGCCGTATGGGGAAGGGGCACATTCCCAAACGAACTGAGGCTCTTCCTGCAAAGAAAAAGGTGATGAGAGCTGTTGCCTGCATATCTAGTGATACCTGGAACAGTGTCCCTAGATGGTGGCACTGGCAGAAGCATGAAGGGAAGGAATTGAAAATTCAGACTCAGCCCATGTGTCTGTTCCAATTCTAACAAATTAGTGGCCCATCCCCAAGGCAGGGACCAGTGGAAGGAGGTCACCTTCCACCCAGGAGCTGACTGGAGCCCTGACACTTGTTGCCGTTTCTGGGAGTCAGGGTTGGCTGTGTAGGGTGGCAAGGTAGCTCGTCAGCTTGGTGACAGGAAGCCCCTGTCGTTGAGTCCATGTGCATTTTCTGTCCTCGAGACCCTCCCTGCTGTGTTTACGAGCCAATGGAGCGAGCGCTGGGCTGGCTGAGGACGACAGCGGGATGCCCTCACAGAGGGGCCATCCAGGCCGCCTGGTCACGCAGAGTCTTTGCAGTGGCAGGGACTTGTGCTGAACAGAAACATGGACAGGTGTATGTTCAGGCTCTGGGCCAGTTCTGACAGCTGCCTCTGCTCCCTTCCCTGCACCTCCTTGAAGCCAGGCTGCAAATCCTGCTTCATGTAAGACTTTGACGATCTAACCAAAGCCTTTGGAACAGGGACAAAATTCCATTCTCAACATTCTATCTAGAGGAAGGGTTTAACTCCTCCAATATCTGTTAGGGCCACCTTTGAGTGACCATAGCTCTGCATTTCTGGCTAGAACAAACATATGCACACAACCATTTGCAAAGCAAGGTCAAGTTTTGGGTTTTGTTTTGTTTTAAACTAAAGACTGAGGCCCCGGGTGTGCCTGGGAGAAGGGCAGCAGCAGGGGCAGAGCAGGCGTGCTGATGTGAGTAACCTGCTTGTGGGAATCTTTGGGGCCCCCACGGGCGTCACTAAATAGTGACTGAGTGCTACTGGGCTCACTCATGCTTAGCACAGGAGTGTCACATGCACCCCATTCCTGATGGGCACACAGCAACCAGGCACATGGTCCTGGGTACATGGGTACATGGTCCCACACTCTGGTGTTTACTCCCCACTAGGGCCTAGTGACAAGACCAGGAGTTATTTCTCATTGAGAGGATGGTAATTCACTGAGGTAGAGGGGCTTTCCTCCAAGACCCGAGGTCTTGCACTGTGTTCTCCTTTTAGCCAACTGCCACAGGCACTCGGAGCAGCGGACGGTCTGCTAGTCTACAGGGCCGATGGCAGAGCTCTGTGCACTAGGTTTGGACACAAGAGAACACTCCTCTTGCTTAGCTCCACTCAAAGCTGCCAGGTCCCAAATCACCTGGTATGTGTGTCAGATCCCGACACCCAATGTGCACATGCTCCCTCCAAAACGGCAGGAAGCCCTCTGAGATTTGCCTGTCCTTCTTGGAGGAAGGGCAGCAATTTGTCACACACTTGGAGGAAATGTGCTGACACGTGTTGGTTCATTGGACCCAGGAACCTTACTGACAGGTGGCCCCTCACTCACGCTTCCATGCTGTCATGCTTGCACCTCACCAAGACATCTGGTGTCCTTGCTGCTTCCTCTTCTCCAGGTCCTTTCAGGACAGGGTCATTCCAGTAGTGGGTCAGCAGGATGCTCTGTGGGTTGCGCAGCTCCCTGTGGAGGAGGTTGTGGCCCAGAGCTAGAGAGCTGCTGTGTCCTTAAGGCAGGTCCGTAAAGGTGTAATACTGTCCCTGCCCGGTGACAGCTAAATGTTTCTGTGTCTGTGTATTGAAATGCAGCAAAGTGCATTCACCAGATGAATAGCCACAATTGAAGTACTTTATTAATGTATAGCAGTGAGGAAACCATATATGGTATATTAGTTACAACTGGAGTTACCACTGGATTGAGTGTGTCATAATCTCCTGACCTCGTCCATTCTCTGGACCCAGGACGTCTAAGCTGCAGCTGGGATTCCATCACCGATGTGCTGCTGACTTTGGGCAGCACTGGCCTCCTCTGGGCTCCAGTTTCGCTGTCAGTTCAGCGAGCATATGACCCACGCTCAGCTCTCCTGAGGGGTCTGTAGACAGCACTGCTGAGCTCAGCATCAGGAGCCCAGAGCCGGTGCTTCATCTTGGGGGAGCCGCTGACACTTCCAGCGCCCCTTCCTTGTTTGCAGTCTGTCCTGCTGAACTGGGCATGGGCCGTCCAGCCATCCTGAAGCTTCTGAGAAGTGACTCTATAACACAGGGGGGAAATGTGAGGGGACTTCCCCGGACTCCCATCACCCCTCCCTCAGTCTGAAAGTCCCTGTTCTTCCTCCCATGTTTCATTGAGTCTGAGAAATTAGATATCAGTCCCTTCATTTTCCAGCGGACCTTGAGAGAACAATATTTCATCTGTAGGGATAAAGCCATAAAATATAAGCTCTGTCATTTCAAGGTATGGCACAGGCAGAAAAAGCAGTCTGGGGGTATGCTGGGTTGGGGGGGAGTGGTAGTATGCCCCTGCAGCCACACCGTGGTCACCCAGGTACAATGGCCAGTGGTCATTTCCGTCATGCAGTTCAGACTCCTTGACACAGTTCACACTTGCGCACACGCACAGGTCTGACCAGGGCCGGCTGGAGAGGCACAGAGGGGTCCCCAGAGATGGTCCCTCTGGACTGAACCCGAGCTCTCTCACCTGTGTCCCCCGCCCCCCAAGGAAGAAGTCCCTGCTGGTGAATAACGTCTTTGTGGTGGCCGCAGCAATCCTGTTTGGCTTCAGCCGCAGAGCAGGCTCCTTCGAGATGATCATGCTGGGACGGCTGCTCGTAGGAGTCAGTGCAGGTATGGGCAGAGGGCGTCTCATCCTGCCTCTCTAGCCCTGCTCATTCATTCCTTCCCTTCCGTCATTCATTTATTCGCTTTATTCATTGATTTCCTTCTCATTCATTCCCACCTTTTCCTGCAAAATGATTAAATATGGTTTATCTTAAAAGGCTCATATAACTAGACACTTAAAATGTATAAAGAAAAATACAAAAGTTGAACAGGGGTGTGAGGACAGACATCCCCAACCTACGCTAACAGAGGTCCTGGGTTGGAGCATCAGTCTCAGCCACGAGCTTCCTGGCAGCCAAGGTGTAAAGGCATCTAGGATGAGTTCTCTGATCTTCCCTACAGAGGCAGAATAGCCTGTTAGGGACTCCTCAGTTTCCGGGGCTTGTCATGTGAGGAAGCAGAAATTCGAGCACATCCACCTGGGCTTATAGGGGCTCCCATCAACAACTCCCTCTTGAGTCCCTACTGTTTATACAGCCAGGTGTCAATGTCTATATTAGTTTCTATTGCTGTGAAACCAAGTTCTCTAAAACTTAGTGATGTGCACACATCCAGGTGTGAGCATGAACGTCCAGCCCATGTACCTAGGGGAGAGCGCCCCCAAGGAGCTCCGAGGAGCCGTGGCCATGACCTCAGCCATCTTCACCGCCCTGGGGGTCGTGATGGGCCAGGTGGTCGGACTCAGGTCGGTGCCCTGCCGCGTGCACTGAGTGGTTAGAGGGGTGTCAGAAAAGCCCTTCTTCACCTGAGTTTCTCCCCTGCTCACCAAGGAGATTCAGGCTTTGCTTCTGTGTATTCAGGCACTGAAACCCTGTCCGCTTCCATCTGGCCGGTACACAAAATTGATGTCAGTCAGCCACACTTCAGTGTGAATCACCCATTTCCATCCTCTCCAGACCAGGGAGCAGAAACAGGTCTTAACAAAGGAGAGGGTGAAGGTTTGGGCTCTTAAAGAGGAGCATGTCCTGGTCATCTCAGAAAAGAGAGGAGAGGGCAGAGCCTGGAGCCCTGGGAAGAGGAGTTGCTAGGGACGACGTGGGGCTGCAGCCCTGCCTTATCCTAGGTCCCTGCCTGGGTGGAGGGCTCTTGGCGTCCAGACCCAGAGCCAGTCAGGAAGAGGCACAGGGCAGTGCAGGCCCTCTGCCCTCAGGAGGGCAGGCAGGCAGGGGGTGGGGCTCTGGCAAGGAGGCGTCTGGCCCAGCCTCTCCTCTGCCTCCCCAGGGAGCTCCTGGGCGGCCCGCAGGCCTGGCCCCTGCTGCTGGCCAGCTGCCTGGTGCCCGGGCTGCTCCAGCTGGCCTCCTTGCCCCTGCTTCCCGAGAGCCCGCGCTACCTCCTCATTGACTGTGGAGACACCGAGGCCTGCCTGGCAGGTGAGTCCCTGATCTCGGTCCCCCACATCACCCTTGACCATGGGGCACATCTGACCAGAGCATATGGGGCCCATTTCTGGGTTTCATTCATCAGGGAAAAGCTGTCCCTCTGTTTGTGCCTCAGTTTCACGATCCATCCATCTATCCATTCAAAACTGTATCAAGGCGCCGTCCTAAGTGCCAGGGCAGGGGGATGGAGCAGACCCAGGCCCTGCCATGCAGGAACTCCAGGGTGGTGCAGAGAAAGAGCCCTCCACACACGTGTGGGATGAAACACCGTGTAAGACCTCATGGGCCCAATGCCAACTGGGTGCCCATGGTCTTATCTGTTAGCTGTGGCCACAGTAATGATGCCCAAGGAACAACCCCAAAACCTCTGGCTTAAACATCAATCACTTACTGTATCTTCTGCTCTTTTACTCGCTGGGCTGGCTGCACGACTCTGCTGGTTTCACCTGGTACAGCTCTGCTGTACATGCCTCTCCTCTCACTCTCGGTACCAACAGGCTGGCCCAGGAGTGTTCTTATTACGCTGACGGCAGAGGCACAAGAAAGCATATCCAAAGGCACAAGCATTTTCTGAATCTTTGATCCCACTGGCCCAAAGTCAAGGGATGGGAAAATCAATGACATACCCTCTCGGATGGCAAAGGGTGTAGATTGAGGGAGGGTAAAGACCAGGGCCCGCCAATGGACTCTTCTCAGCTTGCCATCATGGCCACAATTATTATTCATGTCCTTCCCCTGTGCAAAACGTGCTCAATGCTGTCCTGGGGACACCCCCACCAAGTCTCATCCAATCATGGCATCAGGCTTGAAGTCCAGGATCTCAAGATCATGTCAGGTCTATATGTGCCTTCTCTTGATCCAGAGACCTAGGAGCTAAAAACACAAAGTGCCCCTCCTGCACTCAACAGGCAGTGGTGAAAGTGGGACAGTGCAACCACACCCAAGCCCGTTTCAAAAAAGAGGAGGCAGAGAAACAGAAAGCAGTCAGCAATCCTTAGAAATGCTGAAGGGCCCCCGGGAAAACACTGCTGGGTCCCCTGCCTTGGGGGTGGGGAATGTTCCTCCATGGAGCCCATGGCTCGGCTCCCCAGCCATGGCTTCCCCAGGTTCTTGCTTCTGCCATCTGAGGTGTCCTTCCTTTTCCATCACCTTCCTTGACACCTTCTGAGAAAACGTGCCTGTGGAAAATGGGGGCACAGAAGTCTTTACACTTCAGACTGTCTCAGTCTCTTCACCCAGGCTGGCGGAGCTTTTGTCAATATACCTTTCTCAAAAACGACCTGAATTTTCTATGTATTTGATTTGTGTGCCAAAAACTACAATTCTTTTTAAGATGTGCTTCTCTCTTGCAACTTAATTACTGGAATTTTGGGTCTCTTGGTTTGCTATGGACCTACACCTGTAAGCCCCGAAATGCCCCTTTTCCAGGCATGAGGGTCTCTGAGGCAGTGCTTTAAGCCACACCCTTGATTCGACCTTTCCCTGAGTCCACGGCTCACTGGCAGAGCGCTGGATTTCATCTTGCTTCCAGGCTCTAACTTAACTTGGGACTGTCTTTGCTATCTGGAGAGGCTAGAGATGAGAAACAGGTTTAGTTTTTGTTCGTGTTTTTTATTTAACTAACCTAGCAAGTGCTGGAATCAGTTCAATTTAATTAAATTGTGTTCCCTCTGAAGGTCTCTTTGAGCTTGAGTTTTTCTCCTAGTACGCTTAGAGCACTCAGCCAAAAGCAGCCGGTTCCTGCTCTCCACACTTGAAATCTCTTCGCCCAAGTCCAGAAGTTCATTGGGTCTGTTTTCTTTCCTCCCTGTTACTGCCCTTCATTCACGGCCTTTCGTGTTTCCAGCCTCCTCATGTCCTCTGCCTGGTCTTGGAACGGATACTGTGTCTCAGGTCCTAGTGCAGGTAGCAGTTACTCCTGGTTAATTGATCAGTTTGTAATTGCTTCCTAGCAACCACATCTCAGTGGCAGACAAAAGAAGCAATAATTAGCTCAAACCTCTGTGAGTTCTAGAGTTGGCCCATGAAGGCGGGGTCTGGTGGTGCCTCTGCTCATCTTGGTCACTCATGCAGGTCAGCTGGGCATTGGTTGATCTAGGACGGTCCCAGCTGGATCAGGTCTGCTCCTCCTGGGACCAGAGGGCTAGCCCCGCCGCACGTAGAAACGAGCAAGGTCTCAAGGCTTGGGCTGGACCCTGCACACCCTCCCTCCAGCCTCGTTCTATTGGCCAGAGCGAGTCACGTGGCCGAGCCCAAGGCCCAGGGCTGGGCTGCGGACTTGCCCCTTTAGTGGGAGCAACTGCAAGATCACAAAGCAAAGGACAGGGATCCAGGGCGGGGTGAAGAACTGGGGACGATAATGGCAACCTACTGCAACTGTCTGTCCCTTTTGATGGGTCCGCAGAACCCTGAGGTTCGAAAGCCCTTTTTGGTCCGAGGTGCCGGTGAAATGACAGGGCCAGGAAGGTCATCGCCCTCTGACTGGGGGTCCCGGAGAGGGAGGAAGGAGTGGGGCTGGGGAGCTCACGGTGGGGAGCTCAGCGCCCTCTCCCCCCGCCAGCGCTGCAGCGGCTGCGGGGCCCCGCGGACGTGGCGGGCGAGCTGGCGGAGCTGGAGCAGGAGCGCGCCGCCTGCCGGGACAGGCGCGCGCGGCGCCCGTGGGAGCTGTTCCGGGAGCGCGCCCTGCGGAGGCAGGTGGCGAGCCTGGTGGTGCTGGGCAGCGCCATGGAGCTCTGCGGGAACGACACGGTGAGGCGCGACCCCCGCCCCGGGGGGGCCCGGGCGGTGGGAGGGAGCCCGCGCCCCAGCCGCCCTCGGCCCGCCCTCTGCAGGTGTACGCCTACGCCTCCGGCGTGTTCCGGGAGGCGGGGATCCCCGAGGAGAAGGTCCAGTACGCCATCATCGGGACCGGGAGCTGCGAGCTGCTCACCGCCTTTGTCAGCGTGAGTGTGGCCCTGGGCTGACCCGCCACTAGCCCTGCGGGGCCCTCGGGATGCTGACACTCAGGACTCAGTCCTCGGCGCTCAGCCATTCTTCACTCCAGGTCACTGTTCAAATGTCACGAGTTAGCAAGCATTTATTGAGCACCTACTGTTTGAGGGGCACCCACACCACCATTTTGCCATGAGGACACTGAATGAAGTTGAGTGGCAAAGGTCCTCTGGGAAATTCATACTGTCTTCATCTCCTGTAGGAATAAACTTCCCCTATCCCCCCACCAGCTTCCTCATGAGGCCCCTCCCCACTGCCTGTCCTAAACCAAGGTGACCATGGCCCCTGCACGGGGTGAGTTACTGAGGACTAGTTTCCTTTGCAGTGTGTGGTCATTGAGAGGCTGGGCCGGCGTGTGCTGCTGATGGGGGGTTACTGCCTGATGACCTGCTGGGGGAGCGTGTTCACAGTGGCCCTGTACCTGCAGGTAAGTGGGCAGGGGGTGAGGGAGGAGTGGGAGGCTGCAGCCCACCCAACGACCACCTCACCCCATCCCCTCTACTGCAGAGCTCCATCCCCTGGATGCCCTACCTGGCCATGTCCTGCATCTTTGCCTTCATCCTCAGCTTTGGCATCGGCCCAGGTGAGCAGCCCCAGGGGCTCCAGGCATTGGGCCTTGTTAAAGGACCAATGGATGTCTGGGTGAACCATGGGTCGACATGAACGCATGTTGCCAACCTGCCCCTCTGCCTCCAACCCACCTGTACCCAGGCTTCTGGGAGGGAATGGCTGGAGGAGAGCACCAAGGGGCCCCTTCATGTCTGGGGCAAGGTTGGGGAAAGGCAGGGCAGAGAGCCCTGGCTGGCACCTCCCTGTCCCCACTCCTCCTTCCAGCCGGAGTAACAGGGATCCTGGCCACGGAGCTGTTTGACCAGACGGCCCGGCCTGCTGCCTACATGGTCTCCGGGGCGCTCATGTGGACCATGCTCTTCCTGGTGGGGCTGGGGTTCCCCTTCATCATGGTAGGCCTGCCCCTCCCCCCAGGGGGCCCTGTCTTAGGTTTTGTCACTGTCCACATGAGAACCCCCACGGGAGGCTTCCCTCCAGGGAGACTGAGGCTGAAGGGGATGGGGCTTATCTGAGCAAAGAGGGTCCAGTCCCTCATCATGACCTGTCATGGAGCCTTCCATCCAGGGGCTGGATGGGGCCACACCAGGTCTCGGGCTCTCTTTTAACCCACAGGAGGGCTTGTCCCACTTCATCTATGTGCCTTTCCTCGGTGTGTGTGTCTGTGGGGCCATCTACACTGGCTTCTTCCTCCCTGAGACCAAAGGCAAGACCTTCCTGGAGATCTCCGAGGAATTACACCGACTCAACTTCCCCAGGAAGAGCCCAGGCCCCACGTGGAGGGACCCGGAGGTCATCCTGTCCACAGAGCTGTAGTCTACGGGTGTGGCTGGGGCCCAGATCCACCTGCTTCTCTTCCCTTTGCTCCTCTCGAGGGTCTGGCCCTCTCCAGTCACAGCTCCTGCATTCGTGTGTTTAACGGGTGCTTATTGAGCACCCGTATGCAGGCATGGTGCCAGGTGCTTAGCAGTCAGCATTGAGCCAGAGAGATGGGATCCAGGACATCTTGGTGCGCCCCATCTAGAGGCTGTTAACCCGGAGAAAACCAATAAGAACGGAACTACGAATCTGGGAATCCAGTGGAAGGAAAAGCCAGGTGATGAAGGACGTGCATAGGAGGGGGGGTCTGACCTAGTGGGAGAGGGAGATGGTCAGAAAAATGTTCTCCAAGGAACCGATTTTTAAAAATCAACATTATTGAGGTATAATTTGACATACAATAAAATGCCTTAATAGTAAGGATACAAGTGATGAGTTTTGACAGATGTGGATACCCATGAGACCACCACCACAGTCCAGGCAGAGCTTTCACATCACCCCAAAAGCTCCCTCCTGCCCTTTTGCAATCAATAACCCACCCCACCCCCAGCCCCAAGCAACCACTGACCTGCTGTCTGTCAGTGTGTGTCCGATGGGCCTTTTGGGGACTGTGATATGACTCCTTACTGAATGTTTGCATTAGTGTCTGGCTCTGCTCCAGATGAGTATTTTGAGATTCCTGCACGTCGCCGCGTGTATCAGCACGTATTCCCTTGTGTTGTTGAGTCGCATTCCACTGTGTGGATAGGCCATCATTTGTTCCTCCATTTCCCTGTTGGTGGACGTTTGAGCTGTTTCTAATTCTTGGCCATCATGAATAAAACTGCTGTGAACATTCCTGCACAAGTTTTGTAGACATGTTTGGATAAATGTTGTGGGTAAATGAATTCCTGAGTTGAATAATGAATGTATATTTAACTCTAGAAGAAATTGTTTCCCAAAGTGACTTCTGTTTCACGTTCCCACTGGCAACGTCCGAGAGTTCCGGCTGCTCCACCTCCTCAGCAGCACTTCTTGTCGTCAGTCTTTTTAATTTAGCCATCCTACTAGCGTGTAATGGTGTCTTGACTAATAATGTTGAGGATCTTTTCATGTGCTCAGTGTGTCCATTCTTGTATCTTCTTTTGTGAAGAATCTGTTGAAATCCTTTGTCTGCTATTTTTTTTAAAGATTTAATTTTTTAGAGTGCTTTTAATTTCACAGCAAAATTGAGAGGAAAGTACAGAGATTTCCCATCTGCCCCCTCTCCCCACACACGCATAGCCTCCCGCGTTATCAACATCTCCCAGCACAACAGTGCATTTGTTACAATCCATGAACCTACACTGACACATCATTATCACCCGAAGACCATGATTTACATTAGGTTCACGCTTGGTGTTGTACCCTCTATGGGTTTGCACAAATGTCTAATGACATGTGCCCACCATTATAGTTCATACACAGTATTTTCATTGCCCTAAAACCCCCTCTGCTCAGCCTGTTCATCCCTCCCTCCCCGCTAACCCTTGACGACCACTGATCTTTCTACTGTCTCCATAGTTTTGCCTCTTCCAGAATGTCATCGAGCTGGAATCATACAGTCTGTAGCCTTTTTGGATTGGCTTCTTTCACTTAGTAATATGCATTTAAGATTCCTCCATGTCTTTTCATGACTTCATAGCTCATTTCTTTTTAGTGCTAAATAGTATTCCATTGGCTGGATGGATCACAGTTTATCCTTTTACCTACTGAAGGACATCCTGGTTGCTTCCAAGTCTTGGCTATTATGAATAAAGCTGCTGTAACATCCATGTGCAGGTTTTCGTGTGGACAGAAGTTTTCAACTCCTTTGGGTAAATACCAAGGAGCAGGATTGCTGGATCACATGGTAAGTGTATGTTTTGTGTGTAAGAAACTGCCAAACTGTCTTCCAAAGTAGCTATGCCATTTTGCATTCCCAACAGCAACAAATGAGAGTTCCTGTTGCTCCACATCCTCAGCAACATTTGGTGATGTCAGTGTTCCAGATTTTGGCCATTCTAATCAGTGTGTAGTGGCATCTCGTTGTTATTTTCATTTGCATTTCCCTGAGGAGACATAATGTGGAGCATCTTTTCACATGCCTGTTTGCCAACTGTATGTCTTCTTTGGTGAGGTGTCTCTATTCAGGTCTTTGGCCCGTTTTAAAAAATTGAGTTGTTTGTTTTCTTATTGTTGAGTTTTAAGAGTTCCTTGTATATTTTGGATAAGAATCCTTTATCACATAGGTCTTTTGGAAATATTTTCTCCCAGTCTGTGGCTTGTCTTTTCATTCTCTTGACCACGTCTTTCACAGAGCAGAAATATTTAATTTAAATGAAGTCCAGCATATCAATTTTTTCTTTCATGGATTGTGCCTTTGGTGTCATATCTAAAAAGTCATTACCAAACCCGTGGTCTTCTAGCTTTTCTTCTAGTGTCTGTCATTTTTTGTTGGGTTGTTTGTCTTATTTTTGACTTATAGAAATTCTTCGTACATTCTAGGTGCCAGTACTTTGTCAGATCTGTGTATTGCACATTTTGCTTGCAGTCTGTAGCTTTTTTGTGTTCTTAAGAGTGTCTAAGAGCAGACATTTTTATTTTGATAAAGTCCAAGTTACCAATAGTATCTTTTATGATTCATGCTCTGTGTCCCAAGACGTCTTTGCCTATCCCAACATTGCACAGATTTTCTTCTAGACGTTTGATAGTTTTAGCTTTTACACTGATGTGGATGATTGATTTTTTTTTTATTTTTTTTTATTTAAGATTTTATTTTTTCCTTTTTCTCCCCAAAGCCCCTCAGTACATAGTTGTATATTCTTCGTTGTGGGTCCTTCTAGTTGTAGCATGTGGGACGCTGCCTCAGCGTGGTTTGATGAGCAGTGCCATGTCCGTGCCCAGGATTCGAAGCAACGAAACACTGGGCCGCCTGCAGTGGAGCGCACAGACTTAACCACTCGGCCACGGGGCCAGCCCCGTGGATGATTGATTTTGAGTTGATTTTTATGCAAGGTATGAGATAGGGTTGAGTTTTATTTGTTTATTTTTGATGGATATCCAGTCATACTAGCACCGTTTGTTCAAAAGGCCATCTTCCCGCCCTTGAATTACCTGGGCACCTAGGTCAGAACATCAACTGACCTTTGTTGTGTAATAAAGAATTTGACTGACCTTTAGTAGGAGGCAGTAAGTGCCAAATGAGTGGGCATGGTGGGCGGTGGGCTTTCTGGGGAGAAAGGAGTCTCTGAGTGGGGGTCAGGAGAGGTCTCAAGGAGAAGTGACCTGAGCTGGCTTCCCAAGGGCAGGCTTAGCTGGAGTTCTTTTTAAAGCTGGAGCCATTGGAGGCAGGAGCATTGAAGGATGAGGACAAAGCCCCTGTGTGTCCAGTAACTGTAGAGCATTCTGGAAAGCAGGCGTCAGCACTCTTGGAGCCTGGCTTCTCTGTGCCCTCTGCGCCATCACTGCCTCTGCTGACCAGCCTCCCCAGCTTAACCTTGGGTTCCAATCACCACCCTGGCCGCTGCTGGCCTCCAGTGAAGATTCATGAGAAAGGATCCATTGGCAGGCGTCCCTCGAATTCCCATGGTGTACAGACTGTGAGCAGGGCGGGTGTCAGACGGTGTCCCAGGTCTGGGACTGCATTAGACACACTATGTTCCCTGGTCCCATGGATGTCTCTGCAGCATGGGCTGCAGAGACGGCCCCAGCCCAGGCCCAACCCTTGGGCTGTGTCACACTCACCATTCTCCCAGCCAGAATTGGCCCTGGTGAGGCCTCCCACACTCTGGGCGTGTGGGGTGGGCGTTGCAAGTCCTTGTTGCCCAAGGAACCCCTCAGCTGGGCAAGGAGATGGAGACTCAGGATAGGACCCTGCAGACAGAGAGACCGTGCCAAGAGAGGTGGGGGAGATGGCCTGGGCATCACAGGGGATCCGGCCTGGTGGCCGACCTGTCTCTGTTGTCCAAGTGTGAGCATGAACCTGCAGCCCCAGTACCTGTAGAGAGCGCCTCGAGGGGTTCCCAGGAGCTGTGGCCATGACCTCAGCCATCTTCCCGGCACTGGGGATCCTGATGGGACAGGTCAGGCTCAGGCAACCAACACCACCTGCATGGAGGGTTTGGGGCCACCAGTAAGTCTTTCTGTCCTCAGATGGTTTTTCAAGCCCCACAGCCTGAAATCTCCCAGTTTGGGTTTAGGCTGTTATTAGCTCTTCCCGCTTGAGTGTGGATTGCCTTTTGAGACGCCACCAGGACAAGGAGCAGAGCTAGGATAGGGACAGAGCGAAGGCTGCATTGAGTGAGGGTGGCCTGATGGAGGGGTTGGAGGGAGAGCACCAGCCTCAGAACATGGTTATCTCAAGACAGGGAGAGGCTGGGCCTAGGCCCCTGGGCAAATGGTGCTGATCTGATAGAGGAGAAGCTCCCTGCTCCCCTGGCCCTCTCTTGGGTCCTTGCTGGGCGGACATCCTGACCCAGAACGCGTTAAGAACAACCACTGGATAACGCCTGTCCTCTGTAGGCAGGTGGGCAGGGGAATGGGGGGCAGGGGCAGAGCAGGAGCCAGGGTGGGGGCAGAGGCGGAGGGCTAGGAGGGATGGCTCTGGCAAGGAGGCATCTGGCCCGGCCTCTCCTCTGCCTCCCCAGGGAGCTCCTGGGCGGCCGCGGGCCTGGCCCCTGCTGCTGGCCAGCTGCCTGGTTCCCGGGCTGCTCCACGGGCCTCCCTGCCCCTGCTCCCCGAGAGCCTGCCCTGCCTCCTCATTGACTGTGGAGACACCAAGGCCTGCCCGGCGAGTGAGTGCCTGACCTCCGGTCCCCAGACCACTCTTAATGGAGGGGTCCCAGCAGCCTGGGCCCCCAGCCAGCCCCTTCGTGTCCTGTCTGCTGGTCTCTATCAGACCCCAAATCCCCCTGAAATGCTCTCCCCCCATAGCCAAAAGCTCCCCGGTCCTGGCCCACCTGCCCAGGCTCCAGACCCAGTGTGGCCTCTCCCCACCTCCCAGAGCGCTTGGCTGCCTCCCTCTCCTGGCCAGCACCCCTCCCTCGCTTGCTTGCTGGTTACCTGGGCTGTGTGTCTCAGCTTCCCAGGGCCCAGAGCCAGGGGCCCAGCCTCTCTCACCGGCCAGCAAACAGTGGTCAGGCAGCTGCATGGTGGCCAGGGTGCATGTACTGTGCACGAGGGTCACAGGTGTGGCTTCCAAAGGGCTACAGTCCGTTCCCCCACATTTTCTCTCATCCGCTCCCCCCTCGAACGCTTTGAGATTCTGCTTCCCTCTTGCTGGGACACAGGTCGCCCTCTCTGTGCCTCAGCTGAGTCATTCACTGATTCCCTCCATTTACACATATTCTTTTAGGACCCCACTCCCTGTCCTCAGGCGGCACCCAGGACCCTCACCTCGCAGAGAGTGAAACAGTCTCGCAGCAGCACCGTCAGCACCACCATCCAGAGCTGACATCTGTGGAAGGGTCTCTGCATATCAGGACTGTTCTGAGTGCTTCACAAGCGTTGGCCCCTTTAATCCTAACAAGGGCCCCATGAAATAAGTACTTTCAATATCCCCGTCTTACACAGAAGCAGAGGAACATGAGGGCAATGGCTTGTCCCAAGTCTCACCACTAGGTGGCAGGGCCAGGCTTGAAGCTGGTGTCGTGACCACCGCACCACACTGCCTCCCCTGCCCTGGCTCTTTTGCTACCTGACCTCATTTTTGCTACCCCTGCCCTGGGTCGGGGAGGCCCAGGGGCCGAGGGTCCAGGGTGACACTGTGGACTCGTAGTGGAGCAGGGCTTGAGCTGGTGCTCTCTGAGGGTGGGGCCAGGACGGGCGGCGGGCCATAGAGGACAGAG